TTTGAGGTCCTTGTATGACTTCACAAACACGCTCCCGTTTGGTGAGTCTTCGTTGGGTCTCTTCATGGCGATGCTCGCAGTGGGTGGGGCAAACGCTATCTCCCCCGCTTTGAACGCGCGCGTGGTAGCGATCGACCGATACTTAACAGGCGATGTTGCGCCAGCGACGCCCATCAAGCAACCTGAATGCTGGGCGCGCGTGTCGTCCAAGGCGGCTCTGATTTTCGCCTCCTCAATTGACCGCTGCCAGCCGACGCTCAGCATGGGCCCTGACCAGCAAACGTTCCGATTGTTTCCTGGGAGGGATGGGGGGGGGGGGGGCATGCGAGAGGCATAGCACTCGATGGGTGAATGGATTGTGAAATGTACATCGAGCGGGGGACATATCGACAGAGAGCGAGCGGGAGAACGAGAGAGAGAAATATATAGGGATAATGAGATATGCATGAACATGGAGAGACAGATGAAATAGAGAACGGGCGATATATATATATATATATATATATATATATATATATTCAAAGGGAGAGAGAGAGAGAGAGAGAGAGAGAGAGAGAGAGAGAGAGAGAGAGAGGAGAGAGTATCCGAGAGAGAGAGAGAGATAATGTCGTCAAAACCAATTGAAAACAAAAAAAAAAAAAAAAAAAAAAAAAAAAAAAAAAAAAAAAAAAAAAAAAAAAAAAAAAACAAAAAAAAAAAAAAACAAGAAAAAAAAAGAAGGAAAAAAAAAAAAAAAAAAACAAAAAAAAAAAAAAAAAAAAAAAAAAAAAGAGAAAAAAAAAAAAAAAAAAATAAAGAAAAAAAAAGGAAAAAAAAAAAAAAAAAAAAAAAAAAAAAAAAACAAGGAACAAAAGAGAAAACAAAAAAAATACAAAGTAAAAACAACAAAAACAAAAAAAAGGTCGTGCGACGAGATCGCATGCCGTCCTGTCCTTAGTCGTGCTCACGACTCAACGCTCGTCAACGCTCTCAACGCTCTCAACCACTGGCACGCTCCCGATCATCAACTTCACACCCTTCGCATCGACCCCAACGAACTCGAACGCGCTGCCCCTGTCGTCACCCTCCGCCAAGCAGGGCCTTGCTTTCGACGCGAAGCCTCTCTCCGACAACTTCTCTGACTGGTTGGACCATGCGCGTGCCGCAGGAAAAAAAAAAAAAACCTTCGCGTCCGAGCTTGTAGCCGGTTTGGGCGCTTCTGCAGGGGCGGCCTTGGCCCCCCATGGGCGTTCCACTGGTTTGCCCGCGCGCGTTGCCAACGCAGTGCAAAAGCTGGCGCCAATGCGTGGCAGCGTTTTGGCGCTGCCCAATCGTTCATCTGGTTTGTTGAATGCGAAGTGCGCGACGCGAACATCAGTCAGCCCTGCGATGGCACCGCGTGCGAGCGTGTCTGGCGTTTTTTTTTTTTTTTTTTTTTTTTTTTTTTTTTTTTTGTTGTTATCTCTCTCTCTCTCTCTCTGCTTTGCGATCTCTCGCGCCGAGTGCAAGGACTCATCCGCATTCAGAACAATAGTGGCCTTCTTGTCACCCGACAGCGCGGACGCGTCACCTGGCGTTAAGTGCGTCTGATGGCCGCCCCTGTCGCACTTGCCACTCGCGGCCGCCGCGGCTTTCACGCGCGCGGGCTTGAATGTCACCGCAGCCCCCTCGTTTCTGATCTTCACTTCGGCGAGGCTCTTCGCCATGGCGCCTGCGACCACGCGCCGGGCAGTTAATTGCCGCGGGAAGTCCCGCAATTCGCTGAAGAAAAGTGGATCGCCCAGACCGCCTGACATCTCTTTCGCAGGCGTTGCCAATCCGTCGACTTCCCCAAGGAAGAGGGAACCCGCGCGAGCCCCCTCTTCAATCCCTCGGCCAGTCGATCTTGCCTCCTTGGTTAGCCGAACGGTTCGCAATGGATGCGATCGTGAAGTTCAGGCTCAATCGAAAATCGCAACGCGCGATCTGTCGCCCCGCATTGCCTGCTTCCTGGGCAAGGCTTGAAAGCCAAGGGGCGCTCTGACAAATTCATGCCGGAAGACCTTCCATTCAATGCCCTCATCGCAAGCCTTTGCGTAGTCGGGCTGTGCTCCCCACGACCTCTTCATTGAAAGGAACCCATCATGCGAAATCCTGTCGGATCGTTCTGGCTGTTTCTGCGGCGCGGGAACGTCTGCATATAAGCATCGCAACCCCATGCTCGTATGTCCACACGTGTAGCTTGCGAATTTAGCGTCGCATTCATACATGGGCATTTGACCAGCAGAATCTTTCATTATCTTATCGTTGAACGCTTTGACCTTCTCATATTCCGCCGAGCCTGTTTGCAATTCCATGCGCGCTGGATTTTGAAGGGCCGAGTTCTTGAAACCGTTCCTGAATATCTGTACGATCAGATCGAGCACATCGCTCGGTACAACCCCATCCTCATTCCTGTTTCCCATGCACGGGAACATGTATTTGCTATGAATCCTCTCCATCCTGACGCAATCGATGCCACTCCGCTGCGCTATGGCGCATACCTCTTCGAACAAAGGAACAACGGGGGCGTCTGGCTGCTCATATGCAGTCTTGATCTGCTGCATGTCCCCAACAACATTAGGTATGTTCAGTCACGCTTGGAGGTCATGACGCCTCGCGTGGAAACCACCTCTTTGTTGAGCCAAAAGCCTATACGGTGCATGCATATACGCAAAGGAACATTACAATCTTGCAATATGCACCCTTCGAAATTCACGAACGCATTGCACCGAACACTCTTGATGGGGGGGGGGGAATCAAGAACAACTCGAGCAACGCCATGCTAAAACACGAATAGCAACATTGAAACATCCTACACGCCATCGTTTGCCCAACCTATGTTACAAGTTAGCAGACTTGCTAACTTTTCTAACTCCGAGCAACTACACTTAATTAGAGGGACCAAGTTCGCGAGGTTAGTAAGTTCGTAACCTACTTATAATATGGTATACTTCCTTATAACAGACTTGTACCATAGTTAACACATAGTTACAACGCACGGTAGCACTTATTAACCACGCCGATCCTTTAGGCGAATACGTCTCCCCCGGAGGCCCGGCCTGGGCTGCCGCCGGCGCCCTTGCGCTGGCACGGCCGCGCCCACCCCCGGCGCGAAAGGACGGGGCCAGGGCGGCCCCGGCGCGGCGCTGCGCGCTCCCGAGCGCTCTTCGACCCCGGCGCCGGCCCCTCCGCGGCAGTCCGGCAACTGCGACCCGGCCAGCCCAACGAGCTAATGACTACACCGACTCCGATTCCTCGGGAGGGCCGCATCGCCTGCCGCGCGGGCCGCGCTGGACGCCCCTGAACGGGCGCGGAAGGCGGCCGCAGCGAGGCCAACGGCAGCTGCGGAGCCAGCGGCTCTGGTTCGAGCCGAGGGCCCCGGGGGCGGCGGGCGCAGCACCCCAGCAGGGCGCCCCCGCAACGACGGCGGCGGCTCTTCCGGCGGAGCCTCGGCAACGGCGTCGGCGGGCGCAAACACGGCAGCGGGTCTCCAAGAGATCCTGCGGCGGTCGGGCTGGGCCTGCTCTGTGGAGCAACTTGGGAACACCAACTTCCTGGTCTGGCGCGGCCAAGACCGGGCGGGCGCCTCGCGCTGCCGGGCGGCAGGCTGCAACCAGACTGGGCGCGCGCGCCGCGCCGGACTGCTGGCACCTGCAGGTGCCTCAAGGCCATGGCCTCCCGAGCGCCGAACGCGCTCGCCCTGCCCCAGCGAACACGACCTCCACAGGTCTTGCGACGGGCTGGGGGGCACCTGGGAGAGCACACGGAGCTCCCCGTAACCCTGCTGGGCCGACGCGCGCGACGACGGCCACGACGGCGGTCGTTCGGCGAGCGCCCTCAAAGGGGAGGCCCGCGGCGCTGACGACGGACGTCGGCCCGCCCGCGCGGCCGGCCAGGCGGGCCACGGCTCGGAGCGCGCGCCCTCGGCAAGCGCCCCGGAGAAAGCGGCCCGCGACGCCGACACCACGCCGCCGGGCGGCGGGCTGGGACGCGCGCCCGCGGCGAGCGCCCCCGAGGGGGCGGCCCGCGGCGCCGACGCGACGGGGCTGCGGCCCTGCGCGGACGGGGCGAACGCTCGGGACGGCCCGCGATGCCGCGCCCACGGCAGATGCCTCTGGGGCGGACGTCGCCGGCTGGACGCCAGCGGCCGAAGCCAGGCGAGGCGGCGGCAGCACCCGGCGCTGCCGCGGCGAGCACTTCCCCGAGGTCCGACGCGCCACGAGCGCTTCCCCCTGGCGGGGGGGCGGCCCGGGACGCGGCGCGGGCGGACGCAGCGGATCTGCGGGAGCTGGCCCTCGAGTGGCTCTCGCTCAGGGCCGCTGGGCGGCGGCGCGGGCCTCCGCCCGCCCGCCCGGTGTCCCCAGGCAACGCAAGGTCAGGCAGTGGCTCACGGACGAGCTGGCGGAGCTCGGCGACGCGGCACTGCGCCGCGTCGTGGCCCAAGCGGCCGCGTACGCCGCGCCAGCCTATACTACGCGCAAAGCAAGCCTAGGCTGGGGCTGGCCCGCCGGCGTCGCCAGAGCGGTTCCGCCGCCACGCGGGCGGCGCTGACGTTGCGGCCGCGGCGAGGCACTTCGCGCGGCCACCCCCCCGAAGGCTCAAGGCTCTGGGCCCCCTGAGAGCCCGTGCGCGCGCCTGGCTCGCATTTCCCCCCCCCTCTCGCGCTGCCCCCCTCCCCCCCCTTCCCCCTCCGCGCGCCCTCTGTCGTGTCTTCGTCGTCGCTTTCTCTTTCTCTTGCTACAGGGCTCCTCTCGGCGGGGAAGGTCGCGTCGACCCTTGGCCGGGATAGGCCTGGCCAGGATCGCTGTGGGCGTATAGCTGGCGCTCTCCGAGGAGGGAAACAAGAATCCCAGGACCCCTGGGGGTCTGGTCCCGCGGCCCAGCGATGGCCCTCGGAGACCAGACGCTGCAGCAGAAACTCCTGTCGTGATTTTTCACGGAGCGAGGGTGTCAAGGGGAAAGACCGCACGCTTTCTTTGTCCCTTCCAAAGGGGCGGGCCGCCTCCCTCTGGAGCTGTGTCATCTGCCTCTGGAGCCTGGCCTCCTTCGACTCGGCCTGGGCGGCGGCCACCTGTGGTGCCTGCCGCTGCGGCGTGCCCCACCCCCTCCTCCTCCTCGTCCTCCTCCTCCTCCTCCTCCTCCTCCTCCTCCTCCTCCTCCTCCTCCTCCTCCTCTTCCATCCTCCTCCTCCTCCTCCATCATCATCATCCTCCCCCTCCTCCTCCCTCCTCCCTCTCCTCCCTCTCCTCCTCCCTCCTCCTCCTCCTCCCCCTCCTCCTCCTCTCCTCCTCCTCCTCCTCCTCCCTCCTCCTCCTCCTCCTCCTCCTCCTCCTCCTTCCTCCTCCTCCTCCTCCTCCTCCTCCGCCGCCTCCTCTCCTCCTCCTCCTCCTCCTCCTCCTCCTCCTCCTCCTCCTCCTCCTCCTCCCCTCCGCCTCCTCCTCCACCTCCTCCCTCCTCCTCCTCCTCCTCTCCTCCTCCTCCTCCTCCTCCTCCTCCTCCTCCGCCTCCTCCTCCTCCTCCTCCTCCTCCTCCTCCTCCTCCCCCTTCCCCCCTCAAGCAATTTGGGCTGGAGCACCAAGTCCCTCGCCCCCGCGCGCAGGGCACGTGTTTCGGCCTTTCCTGCACTTCCGCGCAGTGCTTGGGGGATTTCGCCTCCTGCTGGGCCCACAGCAGGCGGCGTCAACCAAGACAGGAGAAACTTTCCGATGGGAGGCGCATCCAAGTGCCCATGGAGCAGGTGCATTCACTGCAAGAACTGTGAGTACAATTCCAAGCTGATGGCTAACAATAAGAAGTGCCTGTCCTGTGACAAGCAGGTGAAGCTTTTTGACTCGTCCCAGCAGAGAGGCTCGTCCGTGGACAGGCGGGTCTCCTTCGACGGCGACGTGGTGCTTATCGACGACCACGGGAGTGACCACCAGGCTTCGCCAGGTCAGGGCTCGCGCCACCGCAGCCCAGGCCGTCGGCGCGCCAAGGACCAGGCAGTCAAGAACCTCGACGGGTTGTTGGCCAAGGCAGCTGAGTACAGTGACGATCCAGCGATGAAGGCCGTCCTGGCCGAGCAGAGGTCGAAGCTGAAGGACCAGGCGGCGGCGTCCGACGTCTCGGCCGTGGACTCGGTGAAGCGCGCCGACGGCGCCTCGAAACAGGCGAGCCATCGGCATGAGCAGCTGGTGAGCCAGGTGCTTCGCCTCAGGCGCCAGCTCCAGAGCGCCGAGTCCAAGGAGCAGGAGGCCGCTTTGGCCCTCGCCAAGGCAGAGGCTGATAAGAAGAGTGCAACGCGTGCCCTTGCCCAAGCAGAGGGCGCCAAGTCCGCTGCTGAGGCGGCGGCGGACCAGTCAGGCAAGGGCGTGCACTTCAGTGTCCACATGAACCCAGAGGTCTTCGACAAGTTCGAGGATTGGGAGTGCGAGGAGTCCGACAAGGTCGCCCTCCGCAACCTGAAGAAGGAGCTGCAGGCCATGCAGGAGTCCTTTGCCGCGAAGGACTCAGAGCTCCAGACGTTCACGGCCAAGCTGGACTCGGTCAAGAGGGACGTGGAGGAGCGCATGGGCAAGAAGAGGAAGACGAAGGAGGGCCAGGATGCGGTCACTCAGACCAGGGAGGCGGCAACGGCGACGGCAGAGCCTGCGGCGACTGTGGCTGCGGGAGCCGACAAGGCCGACGAGCCGACTTCGGAGGAGCTCAAGAGGGAAGCTGCTAGGCTCTCCCAGGCCAAGTTCGAGGCGGCCCAGAGAGCGCAGGCTGCGGCAGATCTCAAGGCCAAGGGCGACGGCAAGGGCGCGGGCGGAGGCGAGCCCGCGGCGACCACGCCCACCGCCGGCCTGCCTGGCGGCCCAGAGGCTGGCAGCAAGGAGTGGCTATTGACGGCGGAGTCCAGCAGTGCCAGCGCCGCTGTGGGCTCGGACGCCATTACCGTTGCGCTTGCTACATCCTCGGCCACAACAAGCGGAGGGGATGCTATGACTGTTCCTGAGGGCTCGAGCAGTACGGCACCCCTTTCTTCACTTTCAGGGGGCAGTGGTATGGGTGCGCAGCAGCAGCCAGAAGCCACTGTTAAGTTTTTTTTTCCAGCAACGTGACGTGCATGGGCGACAAGGCCTGGGGGCGCTTAAAGGAGCTCAGCGACACGCACGACTACTCAGGCGTCTGTGAGACGCACGTCAGCAAGAGAGATACGCGCAAATGGACCGGCAAAGCTAAGAGTTCTTCCCTGCGCCTGCTCCACAATGGAGCTAGGCCCAAGTCACGCTATGCCAAAGGTGACCAGCAGCATTCCAATGAAGGTGGTGAGTGGTTGCTTGCTCGCAACCATCGGCCTGTTCGCATGCTCGATGCCGCTTTCACATGCAATCAACTTCAAGCCGAGCGAGGAGGAGTCCTAGACGGTTTTCTTCCTTGCCTTTTGGACATGAAGGGCTTCGCGCTCGCCGTGTTCATCTACTACGGATTCTCTGGCATGGGGTTCACCAGTGAGAATGTGAACCGCTTCGCTAAGCTAGGCAGCATGCTGGCGGCAATCCACCTGCCGTGGCTAGTTCTGGCTGACTGGAATGTTTCCTCCGCCGACCTTAAGAGGTCGGAGTTTCTGGCGCGAGTCGGCGGCTCTGTGTGGTTCTCCGACGCCGAGTTTACCTGCGCACCAGGCGGCAAGCAAACATCTTCCCATATTGACTTTGTGGTGTTCAATGAAGCAGCGAGACCCTATCTGCGCTCCGTCTCGGCTGTCGTTGACGTTCCTTGGAGGCCGCGCATCGGTCTCGGCATTCAGATTGCAGCCACAGGGGGTCAGATGCTCACGCGTGTGCTTGCTCTTCCTAAGCAAATGCCAGTTGTAGGTCGGCCCTCCAAGCAGCCGGTTCCAGGGTCTAAATCAAGTAAGTCTAAGGCTCAGCGTAGGCTTGCGCGGCAGGTAGCACGTGAGCGTCGTGATTGTAAAGTGCGTCAGTGGTTTAGTGAGCAGCTTGAGCTTTGTAGCAGCAGTAAAGTGGAGCGCGCTACTACGCCGTTACAAAAGTTCGTCACGTTTCATGAGAGCTTGAAGGTGGCATGGGTTTCGTGTCTTCCTTCCGCGTGAGCAAGCGGGCAGAGGCTGACCACTGCCCTGGCCGCGCCGGGCTGGCCCCCCCTTCCCCCCTAGAATCCTAGCGGACTGAGTCAAGAGCGGTCGGATCAAAGATCCGGGATTTCTAAAAGTGGGATTTCATCCCTTACTATAATAGTATAGTTTTAAAACGGGACATTTTGAAATCCCGATGTAAAGTCACACGGTTCTAGAAATCCCACCGGGGCGGGATTTGCCTTTGCTTTTGCAAGATGATCTACTTTTATTTTATGACGAAACTTTTGTAACGCCGATGTAGTTGTGTTTCGCCTGATTCCCCCAGTAGAGTAGGCAGCGAGGCGGAAACAGGTTTCGGTGGCGAGGGCCCTGACTCCGACGGCAGCGAGGAGGACCCGTGGATCCACGAGGCCAACTTCGGACTGGCCGCCCCGACCGCCCCTGCCTCTCCTGTGGTTGATCAGTTTCAGTCGAATTCGGTCCAGCATGATACCCCCGCCCCGTGCACCGCCCCTGTCGAGTCAGGTTCTGCACCACCAGCGGAGAGTTCAGGGTCCCCCGATTCTCCTGAATCCGTGAGCTTTCTGATTCCAGAGCAGCTGTGGACGGAACAGCGGAAAGCTGTAGGGATTCTCCCTGCTGCTGCCTCTCCCCCTACTCCTGCTGTTGCTTCCTCCGTAGCCTTTCGACTCTGTTCAAGCGATTCAGGCCTCGTCTCAGCCCTGTTCGCGGCCTGGTTTCAGGCAGTGGAGGCAACCGTGCACTTCCATCACGGGCAGGTCCCTCTCGGCAGATCGCGCGGCGACGCTGTCGAGTTTCTCGAGACAGAGGTTCACGAGGCGAAGCCAGCGCGGGAGGTAGCCCTCAGGGACAAGATTGCCAGCTGGTGGACTCGCGCGGCTACCGCGTTGACCGCGCTGGCGCGTTACAGGGACAAGGATTCGGGCATCAAGCAGCAGTTCCTCCTGCTTGACGCAGTGGCACGTCTTTGGGAGGAGGCCCCCGAGCGCGGTCATCAGGTGGTTCGACCTTCCGATCGCTTTGCTTGGGATTTCTGGCTGCAGTTTCTTGGTCGCACAAGTGAGAGCTCTCTGGAGGAGCTCAAGTTAGTCTCCGAGGCAGCTGATAAGGTGGCACGGCGAGCACAGCGGCGCGCACTTAGCCAGGCCATGGGCGAATTCCGTACCTGGGCTGAGACGGCCCCGGCAGTGAGCGCCATGCACAGGGCCATCCGTGAGCAGCCTCTTGTCAGCGATACTCTGGAGGTGAATGGTAAGTCGCCTGTGCATCCCAAAGACATTATGGATCATAAACGGAAGCATTGGGTCTCGCGTTGGGGCCCGTCTGGCCAGCCGTTGAGCGAGCTGCGCGGGCTTTTTTTTCAGGAGATTCGGCAGCGAGTTGCAGATGAGGCGCTTCCACCTCTTGATGGTGTTACCCTGCGGGAGGCGTCTGATCACATGAAATGTGGTGCGATGGGGGTGAAAATCGTCTGACTCCGTTAGACACGTCTCGCCTTCCTGATTCAGCTCTTGATGAGTTGGCCGCACTTCTTACTATCTGTGAGGCTCGGCAAGTTTGGCCACGCCAGCTTTTGCTGACCATCGGGGCCCTGCTGCTTCCTCATCTGGCGCGGCTCTGGTCAGCCGCTCGCGAGCAGCACGTCCGCACTTGGACGGGCCAGTGCGAGGCGCACTGGGATGCTGCTATACGCGGCAACTCGGCGATCCGCGAGGTCTTCTTGCGCGCGATCGACGAGGAGCTGGCGGCGCGCCTGTCCACGGAGTACGGGCACGGCCTCATCGACCTCGCCAGCTTTTACGACGCGATCGGGTGGCTGATGCTCGGTCAGACGGCACTCAGGCTCAATTTCCCTGCGGGGATCCTGGGGCTGGAGCTGCTGCAGTGCATGGCCTCGCGCCGCGCGAGCCAGTCGGGCGCGTGCTCGGCCCCCTTCGACCCCACGAGGTCGATCGCCCAGGGCCTCAGGGCTGGGGCGCGTTTCGCCAAGTGCGTCA